TGAAAATGAACACAAAACGGTAACAAAAGAAATACCTTGAGAGCATTACGTTTTGCTTCAGTACACGCGGTAGCTCTAGAGGATTGGAATTATCCTTTAAGGCCGCGTTCATGCACTTCTCTTCCTCTTAAACAAATAACTGTGACGAATTTAGCTTTATTGCTGTCTTTTCTTTAAAACTCTTTATTTTAATAATTTATTTTTAGTCGCACAGCTTGTTTAAAGCCGCTTGCTGGTTATCGAACTGTCCAGTTTCGATTATCGATAACTCGACAGCAACTGACGATAGTTGCCATTCGTAATACAAATTTTCTTTCCAGTTGCGTTGTCAGCTGGCAACCGAACCGTGGTTGTGTTGCTATCCGTAATCGGCCCATTATTTTGACAAAGGTCACATATCCCTGCTGTGTTTGCCTGACTTTTCAAAAGCATTTGACTCAGTTGAACATTCACTGCTTTGTTCAAAGCTTTCTTATTACTTTGGATTTGGTAAAAATGCACTGTTGCTAATGAGGAGTTACTTAACAGGTAGAACTCAACGTGTTAAGGTTGGCTCGGTTGCCTCGCAGACTAAACCTCTGAAGAGTGGTGTTCCCCAGGGGTCCATTTTAGGTCCTCTATTGTTTACGTGCCTTTATAAATTATATTTTATCTACCTGTCGACATGTAAACATGCACACATGCTGACGATATACAGATATATTTGTCCGGGCAAATTAAGGATGTGGTCAGAGTCAGTTCTAATTTAAACAAGGACCTATGATCCATCTCTCGATGGGCTGCGAATAACGGCCTTTGTCTCAACCCCTTAAAATCGTATGTTCTGCCTGTCTGCAAACCAAGAGTAAGTTTTAGCAACATTCCATTTTTTGCCTTTATACCAATCCTTTAAAGCTGGTTGAAAAAATAACTAATTAAGGCTTTGTTATAAATAGTTACCTTAGCTGTACTGACCACATCAATTCCATCGTGTGGAAAATATATGGCACCCTAAGAAATCTTTGTCAATCCGCATCATATACTCCTATGCCCATTAGAAGAAAGCTCGTCAATTAGTTTTGCCCATCATCACTTACTCTGAGGTAGTTTATAGCAAGCTTGATCTCATAAAATTGATAGCTTATTCAATCATATTACGCGTTATGTTTATGGAATGCGAAAATTTTACCACATATCTGGAGATGTAGCTTATTGGGTTGCGAGATAACCGATTATTTAAAAGCTAGAAATTGCATATTTCTCTTCAGGCTGTTATCTATAAAGACTCTGCTTTACTTATATGAAAAATTAATCTTTCCTAAGTCTGAAAGCTCTTGATTTCTTTGTACCTCATTTTAACTATAAAAACTCTACTAAATAGGCTGTTTCCTGCCACTATTAGGAGCAAAATCAACAAAAGCAACTACAAGAATGTATTATATAATTACTTTTCTAGAACTTGATTACCCATCTGAAATAAACTAAGTTTTGCGCTGACCTACAAGTCTGCGTAATTTTTAAGTTGTACCATTTTTTAAAATTTCTTTGTTTTTCCTTTTGGATTTGTTTTGTTTAATATCTCTATTGTATTGTTTAATTTATAATTTTTGGTTGTTGTTGTAGCGGCTACAACAACCCCGCCCAGATCGGTTGATATCTCAGTCGTTGTCGTCAAGTTCCACTAACGGCAGCCCTAAGAAGCGTGCAGCCTCCACTGCGTCGGTCCACAGGGACAAAGCCGTTAGGGCTGTCGGGTTTTCCGGGCATGCGAAGAGATGTTTCGAGTCGTGAGGGGTCTCTCCGCATGCCGGACACTCATTTGGCACATCCGCGTTTAATCCGGTCAGGTATGAGCTTAACCTGCTGCAGTAGCCAGAGCGAAGTTGGGCTATTGTGGTTCTTGTCTCCCGAGGCAGATGAAGCTCCGTCTCGTCAATGTCCGGTGGTTGTGTGCCTAGAACGGCATTCACAGGTCTGGAGTCTACATAACTCGAGACTGACTCCCTGTGAATGCCGTTCAGGGCCTGTCGGTATGCTGACGGGTCCAGAGGCTGCTTAATGAACCTCTGGACTTCGTCCGTCAGTTCGTATAGATGCCTCCTGACGTGCCTAGTCGAGGGCTCCTCTGCAAGCAGCTGTCTGTTTGGGTGACCACATCTGTGGTTCCCAACCAGAAACTGCTTGCAGAGCATTATGTTATGCTCCTTGACTGGGAGCATTTTCGCCTCGTCATGAAGGTGGTGTTCTGGCGACATCAGGAGGCATCCAGTCGCTGTCCTGAGTGCGGTGTTTTGTGTTGTCTGTAGCTTCATCCACTGCGTCCTACTAGTCCCCGGCGACCACACTGGTGCACTGGTGTATGTTGCCAGCAACGTTACTTTGTCTTTGCCCCAAGTACTGCCGGCTAGCGACTTGAGGACCTTGTTGCGGCTCTGTACTTTATTGACAACAGCGGTTGCGTGCGCAGAGGAGAGCAGGCTGTCGAATGTTACTCCGAGTATTTTGGGGTTATTCACCGTCGGAATTGGTGTATCATCGACGTGAATTCCCAGCGGTAGCCTGACCTCCTTCGTCCAGGTGGTGAACAAGGTCGCAGAGGATTTCGTAGGGGAGAGGGCTAGGCACTTTGCAGTGAAGAATCGAGAAAGCTCAGAAAGATACCCGTTTACTTTCGAACACAAGTCATCAACTCCATTCCCAGTCGCCATGATCGAGAAATCGTCGGCGTAAGAGACAATCGAGACTGCCTCTTGTGGTTGAGGGAGCTTTGAAATATAAAAGTTGAACAGTAGCGGGGAAAGGACACCACCCTGTGGAACCCCCTGTTTTATTTTCTCGATTTGTCGCTAAACATTACCGACGAGTGTCGACCACTCAGATAATTTGCCGACCACCGTTTGAGCCTCTGTGGGAGAGAGGAAGCCTCTATATCTTCTAGTAGCGTGGAATGGCTGACAGTGTCAAAAGCCTTTGACAAGTCCAACGCTACTAGAATTGTTCTCTCACAGGGACGGTTACGGTTAAGGCCACGAGTTATCTGAGTGTTTATGGCGTTAAGTGCTGTTGTTGTACTGTGCACTTTATGGAAACCATGCTGATGCTTCGGTGGGGTCAGGTGGTTCGTGAAGTACGGGAGCAGCAAGGCCTCAAGTGTCTTCGCTACCGGGGAAAGGAGTGTTATCGGTCGATACGAATCTCCTTTGTTGGCAGGTTTCCCCGGTTTGAGCCGCGGGACCACTCTCCCCCCTTCCGGATGCCTGCGATGATGAGAGTGGCCATTGACAAATTGAGGACCTCCGTTAGGTACGCTACTCCCGCAGGACACAAATTTTTCAGCATCAGCATGCCTATTTCGTCGGGAGCCATGATTTTGGAGGCCTTCCCGATGGCCACCTGAACTTCACCGCAAGTGAAAGAAAGGCGGGCACAAGTTGTTGGCAGTTTGTGCAGCCTTCTGGTCAACCGACGCTTGGCTTTGTCCACCGGAGGATGCAGTATAAACTGCCGGCTAAAATAGCTCGCGCATNCCTCACGGTTGACCAAAGCTTACTCACACCAGAGGTGAAGTTACAGGTCCTCAGATGCTCTTTCCACTTCTTCTGCTTATGTACGTTCACTAGTTGCCGAATCTCCGCGTTGAGATCCCTGATACGGGGATCTCCGGGATCGGCCTGACGAAGGCTTTCACGCTCATCGGCTAGAACAGCCACTTCGGCAGGGAAATTTGGACGTGGGTCCGTTATGCATCCTGCCGGTACGAAGCGAGCTGCAGCAGCGGTGACAGACCTGCGGAACTTACGTTCACCAAGGTGGACGTCGGTTGGTGTGGGGAGAGCAGCGAAGGTGTTTTCAGTAAATTCCGCGAAGCCTTTCCAATCAGCTTTAGAAAAGTTGATATAGGTTCGGTGTTCCGCGGAAGCAAAGTCGGTTGGTTTATCGATCGAGATGACTATGGCCAGATGGTCTGATGCCAAAGTCAGCATAGGCCGCTATGATATGCTGTTTATCAGACCAGCAAACGACGTGGTCCACTGCCGATGTGTCCGTAATCCTGAGCAGACTCTGAGGTGACTCCACCCCTCGCAAGCATTGCACTTGACTGAGGTGGAGTTGTGGTGTAGTCGCCTCTGGCATACACAGCAGGTGTAGGTTTCTGGCCCTGGGCTTGACTCGATGCCAGCCCTGAGCAGAAGAATGCGTAGCGAAAGTAGCCCTATGGACGAACAACTTCTGAGATACTTCGCCGACCTAAACGGGGTTAGATCGCCGAAACAACAGTCCTTGGTCGGGTAAAACCCGAGTCATTCCGGTACGTAGAACCGGCTGTCGTGGGAATGTATAATTTTTGGTGTTATACCTCCCTGTTGGAGACAGCGACCAACGGAAAAGTTCTTATTAGGCGCCGCGAAGTAAGCGGGAATTGGCAAGTTTTATTATATAAATAAAAACTAAAATACTATAGAGTTGCATCGTTAGGAAAAGGTTTTAAGTCAAAGTCCATGAAAAACGTGATGTAGAAAGTTTTGTTTGAGATAGCTTTTTGTTGTTTTCTGCACACGTTGTCATATGGCAACGACAGGGACGATAGGGTACATGTTTTTTTGATACCCACATTTTTTACCATTACCCGGCTATTTCTCATTGTTCATGGTATTTTATATAGTTTTTGCCCAATTTTACTGATTTTGTTGTATAGTAATCTATCGCTGGGGGATATCTTAGACTACCTAGAAGAGCTTGGTTCGGAGGAACAAAAACGTCTATTTTGCTGCGCCCGAACTAGAGACGCGCTGAGCGTCCCAGCGATACACTCTCACTGTGACCTCATCGAGGCCATAAAATACCAGGTCTTGCCTTCTCCAGTAGTACAAGCGACTCCTTATTTAAGGACAATAGCACTAGTATTTTAGTTCAGAAAATAAATGTTTATACCATGATAAGCGTTAATTATTTAATAGTGTTCTTTCTGCAGGAAAATATAGACACCATTGCTTAATTAAAAAATAAAAATTCGTTTCAAATGCTCTTATATATCATATCGATCGCTTATTTCGTTACTCTTATATTTATACAAGGACATTTAATTCAAAATGGAATGAAATCCAAAGTATATCAAACCAATAGATAAAACTTAAATGAATAACGCTGCAAACATCAGAATGTGATGAAAATTTTAATAGCGTAATACAAACAAATTTTCTTATATAATAGCTACATATACCCGTATGTAGTACATTTGTTAAAAAGGTTATTATGAGAACACATATGTACATTTAAACTTTAATAAGGGCTTTATAAGAACATTAGAAATGCAGAATCAATGTTTTAAATTAATAGATGTTACGTATTTTGATTTGGGAATTATTCTAAAGTATATATGTATGTATTTGCACTATTTTATGTACTCTTATTAAAAAGTATACATATATGTACATTTACAAAGTTTGTAAAATTTATTAACATTTATCTCATTACTTAAAAAAAAGCTAAGGTGCACAGTTTGCTCTCAAACAATTTGTCTTCGAATTTCATTCAAATCCAAGTTTCCCAAATTGTCATCAGGTGATTTCCCCAAGATGCATTAACGATGAGATTAAACTTTTCATTGATTTGAGACATGCCCTGCTCTAAGGACATAATTTACTCACCAAACAAATGTTCAACGAAATACATTTATCGAGGGATATTCTTTAGAAATTTTTTTAATGTAAATCGTTCAAACTTAAGTTAAAAATCGGACAAAATTTTCAGATATCTGAGTGTGCCTTCATAAAAAAGAGAGTTACCATTTCATTCATAATGATTAAGTAGTCAATTCTCGTCGTATAGAGGCGTAGAATCGCCCAAGTTCATCGAATGGGGGGAAGTATTTGTACGGGGCGTACTGCGAATAGATCGTGGACTTTTATGGTTCCTTAGTCGGAAGCGTTCATCTGAAAGCTGATTAAATGCAGATGACATATCATTAGTCGTCGGAACAGAGTAATTTGCGCTTCTTGAAAAATCGTTTCCAACTGTTCGTGGCATATGTGGCGCGGAATGCACTGGTTTACGTCTTGCCCATGATTCTGACGCCATTTGCCATTCGGCGCTCTCTTTTTGAGAAGAATAAATGTGATTTTTGCTTTGCTCTAATTCCATTCTAGGGGAAATTCCTTGATACAAACTATTATCTTTGATTTGCTTGGTATTTGCTGAACGATGATAGTTTATATGTGAAGAGGAGGAATTAGGGCTTGGTGTATTATGAGTGTATCGAGGAGTTTGTGAAGCATATGGTGTATTGTATGGTGTCATAAATGGCGTTTGCCCGCTGGGAGTATACGGAGTATTTACATACCCTCCTTGATATCCAGGAGTATTTGGATAATGTGGGGTGTGAATTGCTGATGATTGTGATATATGTTGCTCAGTTCTTAAATCCAGGTTTCCTCTAGGAGTATCATATCCTGATGTTCTGATGCTGCCCGAAGCATTTGGTGTAGAAGTCGGAGTGTTTGCTATGACAGGATCTGAGTAATGATCCTTAAACCATTTTAAGAGTGAATTCAGTGAATCAAAAATTTGTCCTCTAAAACGGAAACCCTCCGGGATAACCGTTACATATTCATGCCTACATTTTGTTTTGGGTAAATACGATAGCAAAAATTTCCCTGGATAAGACTTTGAGGCTGATATGAAATAATGTATTTTCTTAGAGTCTTTAGCCTTTTCCTCTTTAAGTAGTTCTTCCATTTTATCTTTAACACCGCCACCTGTGTCTCTATAATATTTATATGTAAGAAGTTCTCTTGCGCATGATGCCATTGGGTTTACATGCCTGGCAATAATTTCATCCAGGTCCTCAAATTCTTCATTGCCAATCCACAAGCTTTGACCCAAACTAAAAGCATTTTCTTTTCCTTCTTCTCGGACGTCAATGTGTTGATAAATTCCAGTTGTAACCTTCCATGTCACAGTGAGATGATCGGAACCCTTGCTTGAAGGCCGTACGATTACTTCCCCTTGATCCATATTTTCCATAATTTTCACAACTTCTGCATAGGATTTGTTATGGAAAGAAGGGTGAATAATTACTCGCTTTACGTATTGCTGTTTTGATCTCACTTGCTTTTGCTCATTTTCTTTTCTATTATCCTTCTCCTCTGCTTCGTAATCATAGAATACATCTTTTCGCGGTCTCCACTCATGGTTTTTATCCATTAAGTCAGAGCTTTTAGAAGAGCAATCGACCGAAAATCGTTCTACGTCGATTTTAATAATGCGCACATGTATCGCTTGACCTATTTGAACACGGTCCTCTGGATTCAAAACGTGCCTATCGGACAGATTTTTAATATGAATAAACCCGGAGAGCCCATTGTCCAAACGAAGTTTGACTCCAGTCGCTTGACCAGGGCAAGCACCAGCATCAAAGTGATTCCATACTTCGGACAACTCAGGAAAGTCATCTTTTAAACAAAAGGGGCACTGCCAGTGCCCAGTCTCATCGTTTCTTACAGGATTTGCTTGATCAAGTTGATCTCCTTGAGGTTTCTTATGAGATATTCCAGTAACTGTAGCCAAAACCATTTTTCCTACATAAAATGACTCTGGAGTTTCTTTAGTCAGCATATCAAACAGTTCCTCAGAGTTTGGGGAGCGATAAAGCGTTCTAAGATCTTTGTATAAGGCGTTGAGTTCTGTACGAATGTCATACAGAGTAATACTCTTGTTACCAAACCCTTGCCTTTCTAATTCTACAGCAAATGCATCTAAATCCAGATCCTTAAGTCTTTCTGGGGATTCTAGGATTTCCTCTAGAGCACCAGCAGGGTTTGCTTCTTCGTCATCATATTCCATTGCATCAATAGCCATTTTTCTGGCCCATTCGTAGGTTTCTGGATGTATTCGGGAGCCATCTAGAACTTCTACATAGGCTTCAGTGCTATCACCAAGAGAACTTGTATCTATTTTAATAAAACCGGAACAATTTATAAATACCTTTGGACCTAAGTGGCACAGTGTGACTAATTGAGTACGATTTTCAAGTCTTTGGTTCGACTGTTTAAGTAGTTTTATTAATGCTTGTCCTTTGCGTGGTCCTAATCCACAAATAAATTGCACCAAATTTTGAGTGTAAGAGTTCTGCACAGTTAAATTTATGTCCAAGCCCACCTCATTTGTGCGATTTATGAATTCTATATACAAGTGTTCTAACATATCTTCTTTTGATAATTGTTCTTGCAGGGAATGGTATCGTAGGCATAAAATTTCTTCATCAGCACTGCACAGTTGGGAATATTCAACAAGCGGGTCCTGCATTTTTCGTGCCAATGATACTGCTTGCTTTAATAAATCCGGATATTCCTTAAAGTCTGATGCTCCCTTTTTTGAATTAGCATAAATTTTAGCAAGTTCATTATCCACTATCTCAACAGAAATCATTGGAAATTGATCTTCGTCTGATAGTTCTTTAACTATTTCATGGACGTCGTTTCTCAACATTTGCGCTTCTCTGGATTCACCTCCAATTGCTATAACATGCGGCTTTTTATTTTGAATAAATTCTTTCAAGTTTTTTAAATCAGACAATTTTAAAGCTTTTTCGTCTAAACGGTAAGAGTTTTTGCGTTTTAGAATGTGTGGTAAGCGCAAATAATCACTGACATCTCCTTCAACAGTCGTTACAGCACAAAAAGCAGCTTGTGAATAATCAGGAACATATGCTATAGCCATTGCTCGGATTCCCTTAGCATAACTCCAGTCGTCGAACATATACTCATCAGCAATGTCTGGGCGATATGGTGCTACTTTTAACCAGTTTGATAACTTTAAGCAGCATGACTTCAAAACGAACTGTTTTGCTTCATTAAGAAGAACTGTTTTCAATTCCTTGCGCAAATCAGGAATAACCATAATGTTTAATGCAAGTTCAACACATTCGGCTCGTAACGAGTTCCACTCTTGAACCACTTTTGAAAATTCATCTCTCTGGTAAAGTTGTTTAGCTTCATCAATATACGAATTCGAAGTATTCCCATCAATATGATCAGATATTGTTATTTCGATTAACTTATCTTCTTCGGCCATAGAAAGTCTTAAAAATTGTTCGCCAGCCAAATCCTTAACAGGTTTTTTTGTGACATATTTCATAGTATAACAAGGATGATTCTCATCGATTTCCTTCAATCCTTTTTTGGTTGGTCGAACGTCTATTTTAGCGCGTTCAAAGAAGACCTCACGTACACATTTCTTGAGGAGGGGTTCTCTGGATAATTGGCGAGCAACAACGAATTTAGTAGCATGTAATACTTCTTCAACAGTAACAAATTTGGGGCATAAATACTGCTTTGCTACGTCCGATGGGCCAGCAGACTCTTGGGCAACTTCATGCCGCTGATAACTGTCTCTCAAATTTTCAGCGAACTGTTCAGGTGTTAAACCAAACTTTTTGGCAAATCCACATATACCCGCTTTGCGGCACATTGCGTAGGGACCTGAATCTTTTGCTTGTTTCAGCTGCTCTTCACTCTCTTCTATATCATCATCAAAATTTTGATGTATTTCCTCCCCTTCTTGGAGGTTTTGTCGTAGTTCTTCTCTGGCGAGTCGTTTTTGTTCTTTTTCTGTCTTTCTATTTTCGTCTTGCATTCTGGGTATTTCATGCGAGTAATGAAGCAAAAAATGCATATGAACATCTTTCAACTCCTCCATTGTTTGAACCTCCTTTAACCTCTCTAAATCCTCATCTTGAATAAATCGAATACCGTCTGGAGTCGGATTGTCGCTATCATTTGACTTCTGAAAGGCACGCATATTTTCAAATAACAGTTTCAATTTATTTTTTCTGTTAAAAAGCTGACACCATCGTTCATCATAATAATATATCTTCCATAAATCTTCGCAATTTAGCTCGGGTTTGACGTATTCCTTTCTGTAAAAAGCTATGAAAGGTACCTCCAGTTGCTGGTTTCTAATAAACTCTAAGGTCTGCTTAATTTTTCCAACAGAACTTATTGGCTTTTTATGTTTATCACGACTTGTTTCCAAGGATTCTTGCTGAGAGACATTTTGCTTGCAAAAAGCCTGCTTGTATATCCATTCAGCTTCATCGTCTAATTCAGATGACCCTTCGGCAACCGGCGTAACTGGTACTTGCCTTAACTGCATACGCTCTGGTATATCAGTTTTTCGAATTTCATTATCCAAGTCTGTGAAATGCCCTCGTTTCAGCTCACTCGGTTCGTATAAATCAAAAATTGTTTTCTTGGAAACTTTTTTTTTTTGTGTTTTCTTTTTACTCCTTCCTCGAGCTTCCTCACCGACATCTTCGTCGTATTCATCACCTTCGGATTCATCTTCATATTCATCTTCTTCATATTTGGCAAAATCGTCGTAATCAAAATCCACGCCGAATATATCTTGACCTTCTTGCAATGACCTACGGAAACAAATATTAAACAAAAAGTTAGTTTTTAGGTCGAACGTATTTTTCATAATTGTATTAAATATTATTGAATATAACAAGTAATTCTTAAGCAAAAAACACAACCGACTTAAATTCTCATATAAAACTTTAGAGTATCTTTTTTTTTGGTATTTATTGGCCTAATAGTCCAAGAGGCGAGCGACAATGCATTGCAAGCATTTTATAAAAATTGATTTTTTGGTGTTATATTTGTGGTGTAGTCTAATTTGTTAGCGTTTGGCGTGGGGGCGGCTTTAATTTTGTATATAAACTCCAAATCTTGCAACTACTTTATGAGGCATTTCATGTCACCGCGGCCACCTCTGTGCGCGACCTCTCAGGATTTGGATGAAAGTTGAAGAGACTGAAGGTCTAGGTGACATGAATATATGTGCAGCATATTTTGCCGATATGACGTAGGGTTGCCTATTTACACGGAAGTTAAATTTTAAGAAAACGTCATACATACCTTTTTTTAAAGTGCTGTATCTTGGAAACCTTTTAACGAAACTTAATGAAAAAAATGCATTTCTTACGTCTTATTATGGGCTTTAATTCTATATTTTTTACATTAATTTGCAACGTATACAAAAACAACAAAAAAAGTAAACATTTTTGTTTTTGATTTTTTGTTTGTTTTTTATACGTTGCACATTAATGTAAAAATGTATAATTGAAGCCCATAATAAGACGTAAGAAATAAATCGGCAAAATATGCTGCACGTATATTCATGTCACCTAGACCTTCAATCTCTTCAACTGCCTCTTATAACATCTGAAAAATTAATTAGATCAAAGTAATTATGTGCATGTTTTTTCAAAAAAAAAAATAATTTTTTAATATTATTGAGTGCGTCGCGATACAGAAGCACATCCTTCTATCGGCGACTGACGGCATTTGTTACAGGAAAATTCTGACTGACTATTATTTTTATACCCGAGCGCACTTGTGCCCAGAGTATTATAACTTTGTTCGCATAACGGTTGTTTGTAACAGCCTAAAGGAATCGAGATAGATATAGACAAATGTATACATAAATGATCAGAATGAAGAGAAGTCGATTAAGCCAAGTATATCTGTCCGTCCGTCCGTCCGTCTGTCCGTGTACACGACAACTCGAGCAAAAATATCTCAACGCAATTTGGCATATGGGTTGCCCTTTATCCAAGGTAGGTTACTATTGAAAATGGGCGAAATCGGGTTGTAACCCGGTAACGGTATTTTCGAAAAATACAAAAACTATATTTACTAATATTTGATCCAAATTGTTGAAAATTAGTATGTGAAGTAGAATTTTGGTGCAAAATAATATTGTTATGAAATTTTTGGAAAAGGGGCGTGACCCCGCCAACTTATAACGAAATACTGTATCTTAGTAGCCGCTTCACCAATCCTTACCAAACTTAGTACGAGTCTTGCTTAGGATCCAGCTAAGAAATTTGTTGAAAATCTTTGAAATCACGCAATAGCCACGCCATATAACCACCATATAACGAAAATTTACAGAAACACGAAAACTGCGATAAATCAGTAACTATTGAAGTTAATTGACTCAAAATCGATTATTGCAATGACCACTGAGCAACAAATTAGATTATTATAAATTTTTGGATTTTGGACGTGGCGCCGCCCACTTATGACCACAAATGTGTATCTCGGTAACCGATTTATCAATTTCTGCCAAACTTGGTGTATTTAATAACCTTGGTACGAAAAAGCAATTCGTTGAAAATTATTCAAATCGGACTAAAATTGCACCGGTATCCCGTACGGTAATTTTCGGATATATGAAAACTTCGATAGTTCAATAACTGAGGACTCCAAATTAATACTTACAACAAACTCTTAATAATAAATAAGACTTTTATATGTAGACTTTCAGGTAGTTTAAAGAAAGTTGGAACGACGATAGTTGATACCTGTGCCGGGTATATAAAATTCGGTTTCGCCCAAACTTATACTTCTTTACTTGTTGTTATTACAATAATATTCTGCACCTGTGAACTGAGTTTCAGATTTTATAAAATGGTTTCGCGATGCAGAGATATGCTGCACGTATATTGTACAACTTCAATGCGTGACTGACGGGCTCTGTTGCAGGATTTAGTGACTGACTAATGTCATACTACTTTTTAATCAATATCCTGCTTGCAATTAATCTTTCAGATTTTATAGAGTAGTTGCAAGATTTAGAGTTTCTATACAAAATTAAAGCCGCCCCACGCCAAACGCTAACGAATTAGACTGACTGACGCCAGGCTATTTCTCTACACCACAAATGTGATATAATATCAAAAAATTAGCTTTTATAAAATGTTTGCAATAATAACAAATCATATTCAATAATTTTATTGAGCTTATTTACAAATGGTAGAAGTTATATTCACCGCGGTGATATGAACCAGCGACTTCGGATTACAAAGCCAGTGGTCTACCCCACGGTGCCTGGGAACAAGAAAAAAGTCTGTCCGACATGTACTAGCTAAAAATTCGATGCGGGGATCATAATAGGTGCTGGTAAATGACCATCTTAAAATCCGATCTGATCCTTTTCTGAGGAAATCTTAATCTTAATTTTAAGAGCATATTTTCATTCCAAGTTTTTTTTCAAAAACGAAGTAAATTTCTCTTAAATACAGCATTAAGTTGGTATACATTTTCTATGTATTGGTTTATTCTAATTTACATTCAAAAATCGAATACAAACATTAGCAAACAAAACTAATAGTAATTTGAATATAACATGTTAAACAAAATATAAAAACAATATACTTTATTGAGAAAAAAACAATTTAAACAATTTCTTTTGATTCATAGAAATCAGTATTACTAATAGTAGTACTTTAAATATGGAGAGATGAAAACTCGAAGGTGGCGTCTTTCAGTTTTTGCAAATAGGAAGTGCCAGTAATTACATTGATTTTTCGCCTTTCCCAAAATTTAAAAAATTCTCTATGAGGTGTTCCTACCATAAGCCTAAACTTTGAGTATCATTTAACAGTACTAAGCATTGTGTCAGGTACTGTAGAAGAACATGCATTCGTCTCTCTCGGCAAACATAAAATATTATCAAAGAACTGCCACAGCACTATAAATGAGCCTCTTTTACAAGCTTTTATTTAACTTGCTATGTATGTATGTAAGTATGTTTGTTTGGGTCAAATCTTACAATCAATTTTTAACCATCTTCCGGATAATCGAGAGGCTTGCAGTTTTAAACTTAACTCAGAACCCGACGGCATTGCAATATGAAATATGAATTAATTCGCTAGATACCGCAGAAGTCGAAATATTTGAGTAAACCGCATTATTGAAATGAAAAAACTCCACATAAAATGTAAGCGGCAGGGCGCTGGGGGTTCGAAATATTTTGAAAACCCGTATTTATGGCCCCATTTAGTTCATATTCAGTGTTGCCAGAACTTTTTGGGCCGACCGGATAAATTGGCAAAAAAAAAACGGCTAAAATTTGTCAGCTAAAATTAACATGTTTTATTTGAATAAAGTTGAAAGACTAAAAAATTCATTAAATTATTTTTAGTTGACAAAGGAAACTGTCGCTATACCTGATTAATTAAAGCTCTACGTCAGAAGTCATGTTTATATTACTTACATAAATATAAATAATAGATCAATTAAAAACTTATGGCTTTTTTTCTATTGAAAAATTTTGCCTTCTTTTTCTTATATTGTAACATTTGCACTAGGTTACTTCTGGTCCTGCTAATGGCTATATTAGTAGAAAGTATTGCACTTTTGCTTATTCGGAGGGAATTATTTTGAGAAATGAACACGTATAGATGTAAAAAGGCTGAGGAAAATAGGGCAACATTATTTCGAGAAAAAAAAGCCAGTAATTTATATTGAACAAGCCGGCCACTTTTTAAGTTTTTAACAATTTAACTATATAATTTTATTTCGATGTCCATATATTCGAAGCGTTCCCTTTTTAAGAACCTGCTAACTCTCTGCACATGCCTGTCAGAGAGCAATAATAAGCAACACTAAAGGATGTTAGCTCCACGATACATTCCCAAGACAGCCGGTTCTACGTACCGGAATGACTCGGGTTTTACCCGACCAAGGGCCGTTGTTTCGGCGACCTAACCCCGCTTAGATCGGCGATACCCCTCAATCATTGTCCGTCCATGGAGCAACTCCTTGCAGCCGGATTGCTCCGCATCCTTCTTCTCCGGGCGGGCGTAGAGCCCAACCCCGGACCAGAAACGTATTTCTGCTGTGTTTGCCAGAATCGACTCCATCCAAACTCCACTTCGGTTAGGTGCAACTCATGCAACGGATGGAGTCACCTAAGAACCTGCTCTGGTGTTAGGTCTCACCGGGAGTGGACCACAAGCTATGTGGCTCCCTGCTGCTCAAGCCAAACGGCACAATCAGCCTCCACGGCTACCCGCTCGGGCAACGCCCGAAGAGCCTGCACGGCTCCGAGAAGCTCCTCTGGGCAGCAGCAAACCTCCCAACCCCCCCTCCCCCACAGTCTACCGGCCTGTCTAACTCGCGCGTGCGAGCTAACCAGCAGCTCCTGGTTGCACACACCACCTGCACCGTTTGCCGGAGCAGAATATACCGGAACGTGACATCGGTCAAATGCAACTCATGCCTAGGCTGGTGTCACTTCCGCCTATGCTCCGGTCTACGCACCACGCGCGAATGGACTGCGAACTACAGCGCCCCATGCTGCAGAGCGCCACTGACGCAGACAACAGCGCCCCCATTGCAGCCACCTACCAACAGGCAGCAACAGCAAGCGCGTCAGATGCAACAGGCCCAAGGTAGACCTCACTCCTCCCTCACCCCCCGTATCGCGACCAGCCTCCCAAGGCATACGAAACTCCTACAACTCAACTGCAACGGACTCCAGAGTAAGATTGAGGAGATAGTAGTCTTTATGGGTCGGCATGGCATATTGATAGCTGCGGTCCAAGAAACGAAGTTGCACAGCAACTCAACT